TAGAGTTGGGTGTCGTCTGCATACAAGTAATAGTCAGTGCCGTGTTTTTGTTCGAATAATATCAACAATTCGAGTAGTATATGCCGTGAAAATTACTAGTCCCAATACGGATCCTTGAGGTACTCCAAAGGCAAGAGACGATGGTGACGATTGGTTGCCGCCAATGGCTACTGACTTGGTTCTGTTTGTCAGATAGGAGCTGCTCCAATCCAAAACTTTACCTGGACACCAAACTGAGTGGAAAGCCGCTGAATAAGAATGGACTGAACTATTGTGTCAAATGCAGGACCTAAATCTGATAATACTAATGCTGTTGATGCCTCTGTTTTCAATACTTGTTGATGATGTCATTAGAAACACGAACAATTGCTGTGTCCTGATCTATATGCACTTGGCGACCCCTGGAGGTCACGTGTTCGACCCCTGCATTGGCCGAGAAAGTTCATCGGGATTTTCCGGAATGGTTCCGCCTTGTCATTGGTGTAGGACGGAGGGCCTGTCAAGGGACAACGTATAGTCGTTCGGATGGGACGAAAACCCGAGGTCCCGTGTACTCGTGGGGTACACATAAAAGAATCCTTGACAGTTGGAATAAGAGTAGGCCGTAGTGCCGCTGCCCGAGCAAAATTTCCCTCATAGCACACTGTACATGTATGCCCGTTTTCATTAGCCCAGTTCGGAGCAGAACAGTAGGACGTTAAACCCCATTTCATTTCATTTCATTTGTCTATTTGTAATTGGAAACCTTTCACTAAGATTGTTTGAATTCAAATGCGATTTGAGTTGATATGCAGCCACTTTTTTTTTTAAAAAAAGTTTAGAAAGGAAAGAGAGATTTGAGACTGGTCTGTAGTTCTTTAATAAATTTACATCAAGGTGATTTCTTCAGAAGAGGGCGAACAAATGCTACTTTTAAATGTGCTGGCATAATGAGATGATGTATAATAGGCGGAAGTTCATTAAAGGCCCAATACCACTCTTGTTGTAACTGAATAATATGTCCCAATCTTTATTCTGGTCAACAAATTGTACTATTTTACAATATTTCAATTAATTGATGATACAAATTTCATCTTAACACACCTTATTTAAAAATTTTGAAAAATTCAACATAATGGTTTGAAACGTCTAACGTAAACCTTTTCAAATGAAACTTCGATTTAAAAATATTTTCGAACCCTCTGGACAAGTAAAATAGGATGTAATGGATAATTTACACAACAGGTAGGACACTTAAACATCTAGTACTTAGATAGATATATTAATTTTTTTCTGGAGCTTTCAAGCCAGCAAGAGTGTTATTGTCCCTTTAATACAACGTTTGAGTAGCCACGATGGGATCGGATCAAGTTCACATTATTTAGGAGAACTTGCCAATATTATTTCTTTCAGTTTGGTTTGTGAAACTTCTGAAAATGTAAGAAAACTGAAATCGCGATTAAACTCCGATTCTTCAACAGGTTCAGGAAATGGCTTGTTACTTAGTTCAGATCTTATTTTATCTGAGAAAATGTTTTGAAATTGTTTACAGACGTCATTGGTATTACATTCAGGGAGAATACTACCATTAGAACGTTTTAAATATTATTAGCAAGTTTGTGGAGTTGACCGGAATTTTTTGAGTTTTGTGCAAATTCTTGTGAAGTAAATTGAAGTTCAGCTTTTAAGCTTTCAAGCCTTTCGCCCTTTGAGAGCAGGTTTCCTCCGAACGCTCATAGTCCATTAGATTTTTTAAAATAGTTTTCCATTACTTTTCTTCTTGAAATAACGCACTTTAAAAAGATTTTTTTTTTTACTTCGAGTTTGAATTTGAATTACAACAAAATTGTACCTTTCTGTTTAACAATTTGTTTTAATTCTTAAAGATACATTATGTAAGATTTAGATAAAGAGCTAGTCATTCTTGCTATAATAGTTCGACAATAGATAATGTAAAATGAATAATGTGAAAATGTCATTTAAATTACTCTGTTGCGAGCGAAGATATTAGCCTTTGAAGGTTTGACAAGACGTGTGCAATAATTTCAACCACCGTACTGGTTGTTCGAAGCTAAGTCTCGCTCCTTCATTTTTAGCTTAAATCAAAATATGGCTGAACTGTTCTAATCTATTTAGTATCGGCATACGCTGAAAATTTTATGAATGCACAAAATTTTGGACCGCGTTCGGCGTGCTCGTAACTTGTTAAAAACGTACCCATAACGTATTCAACGTACACCTGCGTGTTTGCTAAATTTCTCATACGTCGGCATATGCTGATGCTATACGTCAATGTGTGACAGCCCCATTACGTGAACCGTGATTGAATCTGATATAAACTGCTCCAGTTTCTGTATTTTTTTTTAAAGGAAACCGTTTTTAATTACAATCGTCTTTATTTCAGAAGATCAAATACACTGTCTTGATATAGTCTTGATCAATAAAGATCATTAGACATAGAATCAGCCTTTGTCTTCTACATGTTATTGGTCAAAACATTCACTGATAGTTATACTCAGACTATACGCGATCACTGTTTAAAGGACAATATTGGTGCTAGTCATTATCACATATGTGTTAGAGCTGGTTAAACACATTCCAAATATACTTTTACCCCATAGATCATTGCTACGATAGCTGAGTAATACAGGTTTCCCGTATCGGAAGTGACGAACGCCAAAGGAAAACACGAGTCACCGCTCTATATAACTGACTGAAGCGACGAGTGATAACAGATACAAGGCAGACCATCAGACTATCAGCGATCACTAGATACACAAATGGCTGAATAAATGACATACTTCAAATGTTGAGCGCTTAGAAAATCGTATATTTGATCCGACTATTCTTCATTCTCCCCCTTCCACCCACCATTCTCTTCTATTCGTCCTACCATACTTTTCATTCGTCCCACCATTCTCGCCATTCGTTCCAGTATTCGAATTCGACCGACCATTCTTGTCATTCGTTTCACCATTCATTTCATTCGACCCACCATTCTCGTCATTCGACCCACCATTCTTGTCATTCGTACCACCATTCTCGTCATTCGTCCCACCATTCTTGTCATTCGTTTCATCATTCCGGTCCTTCGTTCCAACATTCTCGACATTCCGTTCACCATCCTCACAAATCGTTCCCACTAATTGTTCCAACATTCTCGTCATTCCGTCCACCTTTTCGTCCACAAATCCGGCCATTCCTTCCATCCGTTCCATCAATTCTTCATTTGTCCCGTCAGTTATCCCAACATTCTCATCATTTTCTCAATTAAACGGAAGAGTCTGGGGAGAGGGTGGGGGGGGGTCCATTTGTCTCCATATAAACAATAAATATTTAACAACTGTTATAACAATACGTGAAGACGATCGGTAAAAGCCGGATTGTTATTTTAATAGTGTTAGATATGAAGGCATTAAAAACCAGTAACCTAGTATATACATGTAAATAGTATAACGAGCAGTTAATGGATCGCTTTAACGATTTATGCCACAAAAAAAAACCCAAATCGATTTGGAAAGATAAAACGCACATTGGAATCCATCTGTATAAAAGTAACATGATATATGACATTATAATGCTTTGTTTTGCTGTGCCGCTCGCTGTGTACAAAAATTACACATTAACTTAAATCCTTGTAGTAAAATGATTCTTTTTTTACCTAGGCCAAGTAAACATCTATTGATGTTTAATGCTTGATGGATGGTTTTATGACAGATAAAAAAAAACTATTAAAATTACAAAGACAAAAGAAAATAAATAGAAAATAATGGACATGGCATAAAAGAATAATAAACGGTATTGGAACGTGGGTGTTGGGAGGTGGGAGGATGTCCTGTGGCGCGGAGAAGTGGGAGGAAGTCCTATGGGCGCTTAGCTCATGATCAGTGGGCGCTGAGAGGTTGAAGAATGTCCTATGGGCGCTTAGACCATGATCAGTGTAATCTGAAAGGTCATGTGGGCACTGAATAGGGTTTAACGTCCTACAGTTCTCCACCGACTCAGCTAATGAAGACAGGCCGAAATAATAAAGACAGGCATACACCACACAGTGCGCTATTCGTGCAATTCGCCCCGGACAAAGTCTCCGCCTTCTTTTAATAGAATTCAATCTTCCAAGGTTTCTTTTGCGTGCACGCCAACGTGTACGCGGGGCCTCGGAGTTTTGGCCTGTTCAAATGACCAGTCATTACTACAGACAAGGGGAAACCACGCTGGAAAATTCTGTCTGATTAGTGCAAGCCCCCAAATTACGGGGCCACCCTGATCGACTCTCAGGAGGCGTTTGTTTAAAATGAAAGAAAGAAATAATATACATTAAAGTTTGGGGGGGGGGGGGAGGGGGTATGTAAGATTAAATAAAGCGCCGGCAGCTGTCGCTAATAGTTACAAAATAGATAATGAAAAGGGAATATGTTAAAAATTTCAGTCAAATTATTTCACCCTGAGCCGAGTTGAAGTCGTTAGAAGAACAGTGTAGCCATGATTGTCATTGCTGCCGTTGTTAAGATAGTAAACAAAGTCTCGATTATCCATTTTTAAATCAAATCATTAAATGGTCGAAGCGTTCTAATCTACTTAAAATCGAAGCCATCCGATTGCAGCGAGGGTAGATTATGGTGTTGTCATGTTAATTAATGTCTAATTAATAATTTAGATAACATTTAAGGTCTAAAGAAATACCTGCAATAGTCAGATTTAGCTCTTATATAATGCCTGTTTAAACTAATTCAAAACACTAAGATAAAATAGGCTTACCAATCAGGTCGATCAGTCTATTCCTTCTTTCTGAGGTTCAAACTATAGCATGGGAAGTCCAGGGAACCAACCATACAAGACATGCGCCCTCTTTGGTGAATACCTAATATCATTTCATTCATTCATTCAATTAGTACGTCCACGTGGCTGCTGGTGATTCCTTTCGCATCCCTTGGTTTTTAGTTTCAAAATTTCAAATGTAAACATCTGCTTCAAAATGACAGTTTCAATCCAGATAAACATATTTTTATTTTATATTTCAGATTTTGAATACCCGTCCTCTAAGGATATTTTTACAGACTCAAAACGGAGCAGTATTTCTTTATTACGTAAGTATTCGTCTCAGATAACATTTACTTTGCAGAGTACTTACAATTTAGAAGTTTTAAGATCCAGCGATATTTTAATTAAACTATGAGTAGTTATGGCCACGGCCATAGAACAAGATAGTTTATTCCTGGGGCTTGTTTCACGAAATTTTAACTAAGATAAAATCCAAATTTTAGTAATTTGATTGGATAATATTAGATTGATTTTAGTGCTTAGCCAATCAAAATTGAAGTATCTACTAAAATTTGGATTTTATCTTTAGTTAAAATTTCGTGAAACAGGCCCCTGGACTACTACCACGGTACATCCTAGAATGCCGACACATTTGTTACAGTTGCTGGTCGGTATTTGATGAGGGTGGTGGTGGTGGTGGTGGTGTGTGTGTGCGGGGGGGGGGGATTTCTTCGAAAACTACAATATTGTGAACTTTGAGCTCAAACAATGGTCCAAGTCCATGGTGTGTGTGTGTGGGGGGGGGGGGGGGGTCGGTATTCCCTCTAAAAATTCAATACTGTGAACTTTGAGTTCAATTCCATGTTGTATTTACGAAGATATCCTGTAGCATCTTCTGCCCAGCCATCTTTTGATGAATCTATGCCAGGAGATTATCTACTGCTGATTGCTCACGGGTTAATTCATCCTAAATATACATTTAACATTTAATTCAGAAAACAAAATCACAATACCAACGTTAGATAACCTCATGGCTTGGATTCAATCGGATTTAAAACAGGTCCATAATAGTATGTTCGCCCACAACAAAATAGCGACCGGCTAATTACATAGCGAGCAGTATAGATCGATGAAATATCAGTTCAACATATCTTGTGTAAATATGGTACGGAATCGAACATTATTGGATCGATCAGCATAGATCGATAAAATTTCAGTTCAACGTATCTTTGTAAATACTGAACGGAATCGAACCATTGATGGTTCGATCAGCATATATAGATGAAATTTTAATTCAACATATCATTGTAAAACCTGAGATGAATTAGACCATATTTGGACCGATAATACTATGGACGATTCAATTTCACAATATTGTAGCTTGCAAGGAATTCCTAATTGGCTACAATGGCGCAAGAGAGAGAGTAACAGAAATGGGGTTTAACGTCCACGCGACACAAACTAGATCAATTTTATTTCAATAATTCGCTTAGGGGTCTTTAGCAGTGGAAGGAAACCAGAGGACCCGGAGAAAACCTACGAGGTTGGACAGGAGACCCTACTCCTTGTCACGTATAACCAGGGAATCGAAACCACGCCAGTTAACTCAATGACAGACCTTATGACACAGCGTGCACACGCTAACCATTCGGCCATCCAACCCCACTACAATGGCGCAATGCTACGCCGTAGAAAATTGTATACTGTTCATAATATGAAAGGACAGCCAGCGACTTTAGTTGACATACGTGGTAAATGCAGATCAATATTCTACTACACGAAGATCTGACCGATTGTAGTAAAAGGTCGCGTCAGGTGTCATGCGCGCGTTTTTTGGCTTATGACGTCAGACATTGATTAATCCATCAGCATTGACGTTTCTAGTGTTTTACCCACAGTTCCGTGCACCTCGCACCAAAAACTCGCCGTAACAGACCGTTTCATTGGTTATTCCCTCACATCATCCAAGTAACACGAAATTTTGAACTATAAAAAAGCGCGGGTTATATAACAGCTCTTCCAGATCCTAGTGTAGTACAGACAAGTAAAACAAAATTTTGAACTATAAGAATCGAAACGAAATAAGATTTGTGTTTTTAATCAGATTGGATTCTCCGTGAAGATTCGACGATAATTATAAACCACCGAATCATCGTCGAAAACGTCGCTTTGAATCATATTGTTTGTCTAGTCGCTCGGATGGGACGAAAAACAGAGGTTCTGTGTATACATTGGCGTACACGTAAAAGATCCATTGGCAGTTGGAATTCGATGTAAGAGTAGGCCGTAGTGCTGCTGTCCGGGCAAAATTTCCCTCATAGCACACTGTATGGCGTATGCCCGTCTTCATTAGCCCAGTTCGGAGCAGAACAAAAGGACATTCAACCCCATTTCATTGCATTGTTTACAATAGGATTGTGTCTTGACATGTGATGGTATTTGTCCTCTGGGATAGAGTAGAGATTATGATGGAATGTAATCATGTCTTCTGTACAATCTGCCAAGATGTCAAACACCACGAGAAACAAGAGTAACTCATATCCCCTGAACAATCTGTCAAGTGATGAGTTGTCACATACCACAAGAAACACGAGTAACTCATATCCCCTGAACATTCTACCGAGTTGTCAGATACCATAAGAAACACGAGTAAATCCCACTCTTAATACAACTATATTAATATAATACATCAGCTTACTCAACGTTTATATCTACTAGATGTCAATCAAACCACTTGGGTATTTTATACACTTAACTGTGATTTTCAATTTTGGCTAAAATATTATAAAATCGAAGAGCGGACGGTAACGCCGTTGTCTGGGCAAAATTCTCCCATCTCGCATTGCAGACGTAGCCATAGAAATAGAAATGGTCGTCTCAAAATGTCGGAAGGCAATAATACATTAACGTCTCAAAATGTACAGTTTGTATCCATAGAGTGTCGCATTAATTCTGGTTGTATCCTAGGAGTTTAACATTAATTCTGGTTGTATCCAAGGAGTTTAACATTAATTCTGTTTATATCCAAGGCGTTTAACATTAATTCTGGTTGTAATGTTGTATTCAAGGAGTTTAAAGGACAATGTTGGTGTCAGCCATTATCACATATGTGATAGAACTGGTTTAACACGTTCCAAATATAATTTTAACACAGAGATGATTGTTACGATAGATGAGTAATGGAGGTTTCTCCAAAAGGAAGTGACGAACACAAAATGAAAACATGAGTTATCCTTCTATATAACTGACTGAATTGGCGAGTGATAACAGATATACGGACGAATGTCTGCTCACTAATAATTCCTTCGAAGACCAGAAGTTGTTATGTGAGACTGTAAGGGGATATCTGACAATACAAAAAATTAATTGAATGTCACTAGATACTTGGAACGTGTTTAGCGAGTTCTATCACATATGTGATAATGACTGACACCAATATTGTCCTTTAAATTAATTCTGGTGGTGATGGCTATAATCTGATGAGAAACGGTGGTGGGTGTAAGGTAGTTGTGCATGAAAGAGAGAGAGAGAGAGAGGAACTGCATTGTAGAATATAACACCTGTAACGTAGAGAAAGTCCACAAGAATGGACAGGAGACCCTAATCCTTGTCACGTACAACCGGGTAATCAAAACCACACCAATTGACTCAATGACAGATGATCAAAAGCTTTAAACCATGCGGCCACCAAAAAAACACTAAAAATGAAAATGTCTATCCTAAAATTATCTAGTTTTCTGTTGATTGGACGTTACCTCTGCCCAATCACCCAACTTATCTAACTATCGATAAAGGGGGGTTGGATGGCCGAATTGTTAGCACGTGCGCGCTGTATCATAAGGTCTGTCATTGCGTCACCTGGCGTGGTTTCGATTCCCCGGTTGTACGTGACAACGAGAAGGATCGCCTGTCTATCCTCGTGGGTTTTCTCCGGGTTCTCTGGTTTCCTCCCACTGCTTAAGACCCCTACGCGCAAGCGAACTATTGAAATAAAATTAAACCATATGTTAGTCGCGAAATGACCTAGTTTGTGTCGAGGACGTTAAACCCCATTTCTCTCGCGCTCTCTCTCTCTCTCGCTCTCTCTCTCTCTCTCTCAACTATCGATAAAGTTTCCAGAAACAGCATTATAGTTCATTTTGAAAGGACATTAACTTATCTTTATGGAAGGCTCGACTTTATCCTCGTTTGTGTTTATGTGTGGGCCTCTTCAATCTCGATTTATTTAAATCGTGTAGTTGGTGATATCCCTCCAGCACACACTCAATCAATAATAAAGCCGGAAAATCTGTGATGACATCTGGTGCTAGAACAATTAGACAGGAGATCGGTAACAAATGTACATTGTTCCCACGGCGAATAATCTGCCTCATTAAAACAGAAATTTTCTCATCAAATATTTTCAACATCAAGAAATTTAGCCCATTATCAGATCTGATTTATTGAAATAATTATTCTTGTGTTACGTTTCACTTCCTAATTGTTCTAAAGACAAACACATTGTCATTTGTCTCTTATATTATCAACATATTATCGCGTTACTTTCAACTTCCGAATTGTTCTCAAAAAAACTTTGTCCTTTGCTTTTATGATAAAGGTTAGCTAACAAGTGTCCATCAACCTGCCTATGGACTTCCGATATACTATGCTGGTAAAGGTTAGAGCTGACAAGTGGTCGTTATCAATTTTTAAACGCACATGGGGTTTAACGTCCTATTTGTCTTCGCCAACCGAGCCCCCGTCTTCATTAATCCAGTCGGAGCAGGGCATTTCATTTCTTCAACCGAGCATATATCCCACTAGTTCCTTTAGGAACTGTCTCTGGTCAGACGATGTCCGCTCACCGCTCCTATCCGTCCCTATATAGGGACGGATGGGAACAGTCAACGGACATCGTCCGATCAGAGACCGTTCCTAAAGGAACTAGTGTGGCATATTGCAATTACATGTATATAGGAACGGATGGGAACGGTCAGCGAACATCGTCCGATCAGAAACCGTTCCAACAAAAAACTAGTGTGGCATATTGCAGTTATATAGGAACGGATTGGAATGGTCAGCGGATATCGTCCGATCAGAGACCGTTCCTAATGGAACTATTGCCACACAGTTTGCTTTGAGACTTCTTCTGTCTACTTTTATTTCGAATCTTCCACGTGCACGTCAATTTCTACATGCGACCTCGGTTTTCGTCAGACCCCAACGACTAGCTGCTCTTCCACGCTCCGGCCCCTGTTGCTTTTCTATACACTCTAGGGTTTTTTTTATTTCTTAATAATTCCATTTATTCTTCTATTTTTCAGAAAATAAAAGAGGCAGTTTTAACGATCTTATTCAGAGATTATTGGCGCTGCGTGGTGAAATCCGATCAAATGCTAGAAAATCACAAATGAGATTTGGAGGAGGCAGGCGATAATTTTGACACGTGACCTTTATGTGACGTCATCTACTCATCCACTGTGAAAATATGTGAATCCATCGAGTGCTTTAAATCGGAAAACGTTTATGTTTTATTCGTTTATATATATATATAATTTTTTGTTTTCGTTGGGCGTCTTGAATATGTTAGTTAATCTAGTTAAGCATTCACATTCCTTTTTCATACTGTTAAAATTTACACCCACCGTCTGACAGCATCCTCAACAAGGTCGTGCTTAGCTGAACTATTATCCTGACCTTTCACCCTTGATTGATTTTATCCAATCAGGCTTGGACAGGAATAGTTTTATCCAATCAGCAAATGGAAACGAAGGCTAATAAAGAAGATGTCGGGTCTTCGTGTAGCGTCGACCAAACATAATTTTAAATCTAAACAAAATCAAATTTTAGATAGATAGGTCTGTTTAGACAGTGTTACCTTTCTAATAAGACCGGTTCTAAACACTCCATATACCGGACAATTGAATGTATTGATTTAGCAATGATTTAGTATACTTACCTGAGTATTGCATTAGGAAAGGTAAAATTGTGTTAAATGTCATTATGTAATTAAAACCTTTGTTATTAAAATGTTAACAAAATTAAGAATTTCATTTATGTTGACAAACTGAGGACAGACAGACAGACAGACAGACAGACAGGCATGTTTAATGTCGGCTCGACATAAACTCGATCATTTCGGGACTAACATATTATATGGTTTAAATTTAGTTGAATTATTAGCGTAATTGTCTTTAGTAGTCGGAAACCGGAGGAACCGGAGAAATTGGACAGACGGCCCTACTCTGTCACGTACAAGGATGGGATAGCAACCTCACGTCTTACCCGTGCGATATAGTGTATTGCGCTGTATCATAAAGCCTATCATTGAGTCAACTGGCGTGGTTTCGAATCCCCGGTTGTACGTGACAAGGAGTAGGGTCGCCTGTCGAACCTCGTGGGTTTTCTCCGGGTCCTCCGATTTCCTCCCACTGCTAAAACCCCTACAGGTGAGCGAATTATTGAAATAAAATTGAACCATATGAAAGTCCCGAAATGACCTAGTTTTTGTCGAGTGGACGTTAAACCCAATTTCTCTTTCTCTCCCCTTGCCAGACCATGCGTCAGAAACCAAGCTGAAATACATACCGATGAATTTTCTGGGCCAACGCCGGGATCTGGCCTCATATCTTCAGGTTAAGGAGCCGATGGTTTACTCACCGGGCCATCTGGATCCGGTGGATTAAAAGTCGGGAGTCACAGAAATGAAATGGGATTTAACGTCTTACTGTTCTGCTCCGAACTGGGCTAATGAGGACGGGCATACGCCATACAGTGTGCTATGATGGAAGTTCTGTCCGGACAATGACACCACAGCCTACTCAGGGAGCCACAGAATATAAACGGGTAATAAATGCCCCCAAAACGTTTACCGCATCTGGACATGAGCATTGATACCGACATTGTCATTATATATTTGTTGACAACTGAATACTTTAGCTTTTTCGAATAAAAAAAATAATATATATATTTGGAAAGTTAATCGGTCGGAAAAACTCAGAAATTTCACTATTCAGATAATAGAAACAACATGGTCTTGTCGCCTACAAAAGTTATAAAGGGCCAAGAAAAGGACAATACATTTTGGACTACCTGGCGGGGTTTATGGGCTGTCAGTGAAAAATAATTGTTTGGTTTTGTTCCTGAAAAGTAGGCCGTTAAACACCATTTAATTTAGTTCTTGGGTTCATGTATAGTGGGGCCTCAATCGGATTCAAATACACATCTATATTTCGTTTCGTTTTTTATACTTTCGATGGCCTACACTACATGAAGATCGGACAAGTTATAGTGATAGGTCACGTCAGGGGTCAAAAGACCGACTTATGACCCTATGACGTCAGACATTTGATTAACCAATCAGCATTGATGTTACTAGTGGATTACCCACAGTTCCGTGAAAAACACGCCTAAAGCTCGCCGTAACAGACCGTTTCATTGGCTTATCCCTGACACCATTCAGAACACAAGTTAAATAACAACTCGTCCAGATCCAAGTGTAGTCAAGACAAGTAAAACGAAATTTTGAACTATAAAAACGAAACGAAATAGGATCTGTGTTTTAACCAGATTGAGTGGGGCCTATTATATGTATTGTCGACCGCTCGGATGATTTAGCTGCGGCGGGCCTATGTTTCGTTACCTGGCAACCTATCTTTAGTTCACGGGTTTATGTATAATAGGGCCTATTATGTATTGTTGATCGCTCGGGTGATTTAGCGGCGATAGGCGTATGTTTTGTTACCTGGCAACCTATCTTTAGTTCATTACAGCCAACTAGTACAGCGTTTACTGGACCCATTTTCTATTAAGTTAATATAGACCACGCTGTCACCTTTAATTCTTGGCCATTTTGCAAACGTCATTCGTGTGATTTTAAGACATGACAAAGCCATCGTGATTTTTCTCATTCAGTTTAGATATTAAAAACAACCAACCCAATCCAAGCCTAGTGGGTAACACATGTACGGAAGGAGCTCGATGTCTAGACCAGGGTCATCAAGTCATCAAAGGGCTGTCTTCAACATGTCGTAAAGCAGATTTCTCTTGGCAGAAAACATCTTAAATCACGCGATATGCCATTAAACCAAGAGCAAATAGTCTGGAAACAGCGGAGAAAGTTTGATTGAAAATGGATGGTGAAGTTTTATATTGTTTCTGTGAATGACGACTTGACATCCGTCAGACTTATTGACATAATAACTAGAATTTGACAGACAACTGACAGACTTCCCACTAAAATCTATTGTCTCAAGTAAAATGAAATTAAATGGGGTTTAACGTCCTACTGGGCTAATGAAGACGGACATACACCATACAGTGTGTCTATGAGGGAAATTCATTGAGCCACCATGACGTCGATATATGACGTAAGCTCTCAGAGTTTAACATCTGATTTAGTTGTGATGCTTTCTCATATTTTAAAAATAAGGGACGCTGGGCCTGGTAACGACTTAGTCTAGTCGTTCGGATGGGACGAAACACCCAGGTCTATGAGGGAAATTCATTGAGCCCCCATGACGTCGATATATGACGTAAGCTCTCAGAGTTTAACATCCGATTTAGTTGTTACGCTTTCTCATATTTTAAAAATAAGGGACGCTGGGCCTGGTAACGACTTAGTCTAGTCCTTCGGATGGGACGAAACACCCAGGTTCCAGGTACAATAATGACGTACACGTCAAGGAGACATTGACAGTTGGAATTCTACACTAACGTAGTGTAGACCGTAGCGCCGCTATCCGGGCAAACTTTTACTCAAAGCACACTGTATACCGTATGCCCGTATTAGCTGCAAACGCCCGAGAAACGTTCACACCAACAAGAAAATGAAATGGGGTTTCGTCCATTTTAGGAATTGTCCTTAACCCTTTCCAACCTATACACTTCATTAGATATAGACAGTACTAGTTGATCATATCAAAATTATCATATTTCCCGCCAATTTTATGCATTGATCATATTGATCACATTTCCCGCCAATTTTAGGCAGTTCACAAGTGATTCTATAGCACTAAAATGGTACATCAGGACTTCGAGTAGGGTCGCCTGTCCAACCTCGTGGTTTTCTCCGGGTCCTCCGGTTTCCTCCCACTGCTAAAGACCCCTACGCGCAAGCGAACTATTGAAATAAAATTAAACCATATGTTAGTCCCGAAATGACCTAGTTTGTGTCGAGTAGACGTTAAACCCCATTTCTCGCTCTCTCTTTATAGTTCTCCTGTCTGTGGTGGTTAGTAGTTGTCAACGCCCTCTTCTACCGAGTGTTTTAAGTTATACATGCTGGAAGGGCCAGTCATGTTTAAGGGGGTACTCGATTGAACGTTCCGGAATTGAATTCTCTCAATCCCAAAAATAGTTACAATCGAGTGAAAAGGTGGATTTCGGGCTACAACGCATGCGTCGACTGAATCAGTAAATATCTCAACCAACTATGCAGCCGATACATTTTAATAACGTCACGATTCTACTCACACCACCTCCGTTGTCGGGACTGACAGAACTGTGACAGAACTGAATTCCGCGTTACTCGATTGCAATTCTGTCAATTCGGGACGTTCTGGACTGTGAATCGAGCATCCCCTTTGAATCAAGTCCAGGGTAGGGTAGAGCTGGAATGCTGCACACACCAAAGTCATTAAATGCGTATAGTCGTATCGTACCCTATGCTGAAAATACAGTCTGTAATGGAACAAAAATATATTTAAAAAAGAAAATTGGCGTAGTTATAGATGTTAATTAATTAGTTGAACACCAGTCTACAATGTCCAGTGGTCAACTAATTAATTAAATGTCGTCACACACTCGCTGGTAAACCAAACACGTGTTGATTTTCAATCTAAAATTGTTATTAATAATATACATATAATATTACCTAAAGATTCCGGTTTATCAACAAAGCTAATTACAGGATTGGTCACTAATTTACACACACATGGAAACTTAATCTGTATATAAATTGATAAATAAGACGCCGATATTAATGGAATTAGAAAGGCCATATTACAACTAATTTAATTAATTAACTGGTGTTTTTTGTTATTAAAAATAGGTTATTTAATTAGCCCGTATTTTTCTTTTTATCAAAACAATATTTTATTTTTGGTTTTGGATCTGTGATGACCCGGAGAAAACCCACGAGGTTGGACAGGCGACCCTACCCCTTGTCACGTACAACCGGGGAATCGAAACCATGCCAGTTGACTCAATGACAGACCTTATGATACAAAGCTCACGCGCTAACCATTCGGCCATCCAACCCCCCAGACCACAGGAGATCATTCAACTTTATTATATCGGTGTTGAAGACATAATTATTACCCTGGCATCATCTGTCTTGTTGAACAACTTCGTTTTGTAGCGGAGGAACGGAGATCATTAATCTTTTAACAATGTACAATTTGTGTACGAGTGCAAGGAACAGTGTCTAATCATCCAGATGGTCCAAAAATCGAGGTCCGGTGTACCCGTTGATGTGCACGTTAAAGATATCTTCGTAGTTGATCTTTATTGCATATTATTAATATCCATGCTAAAGGCAGAATTATTACCTTATCCGTCTTTTAAACAGCTTGTTTGAAGCACGGGGTGGGGCCAATAAATCTTTAAACATTATGTAATTTGTGTACGTGTGAAAGCCAGCCAATGTGGCGCAGTGGTTAATCAGACGTTTATGATCTTGGTGTTGGTCGAGAACGTACTGTTTTGATTTTCCAGTGGTGCAGAATTCTTCAGGATTTGGTTTGACACGAACCAACGTCTAGCTGTTCGGATGAGACCAAAAATCTCGGTACCGAGTACACATTGACGTGCACATAAAACAACCCTTGACTGCCATTAGGTGAAGAATCAAAATGTCTTCATAGCACACTGCATGGTGTATAACCCGGTTGGGGAAGGCAAGTAGGAAGTTAAACTCCATTTCATTTTATTTTGTCAATGGTGAATCTTTGTTTAAAAATTCATAAAAAGCGTTTAAAATCATCCAATTTGTACTTGTGTCTAGTTTAAAGCTGGCCATTCAATTTGGATAATGAGCGTCCAATTGA